CACTGGTACGACTGGCACTGGCCTGGGGAGGATGGTCCCAGTGCTGCCAGCTCTCCCCCAGCTGGGGGTGATGGTGGCGTCCTCTCCCCCCAGGGCCAGGAAGGGGCTCGCCAGAGCTCCCGGGGTTCAGCTTTTCTCTCCCAGCAGGAAGTGCCCAGTCCTGGGCAGAGCCGGCAGCCACCCCAGAGCAACCCAGGAACTGGGGATGCCTCCCTGGAGCTTTTTTCTGGAAGTACAGAGGTGTCAGAGCGGAGTGAGTGGGGTCCAGAGCTGGGGCAGGGGGCAGTCATGGGAGCCATGGGCTAACAGGGCATCTGCTCACCGGGCAGGTATCGATCCTGTTTCTGGGGGAGACATCTGGAAGCGGATTTACCATCCCTCCTACATCCAGGAGCAGTATGTCCTGACACACTGTTCTGTCAGCACTGACCGCAGCCAGGGGCTGCTCTCCCGCAGCTCTACCAGCAGCGAGTCCACTGGTTCCCGGGATGTGGCCCCTGAGGGTGGCTCCTCGGCCCCTGGTGCTGATGTCACCTCCCAGCAGGGCCAGAAGAGCCTGTCCCTCTGTGAGTCCTCCACCAAATCTGCCCCGCTGCCCTCTGCCCCAGCTGGCACCAAGGTAAGGAGCCCACTGGGGTGCAGGGGCTCATGGTGTGTGGTTCGTTCATGCCTTAGCTGGAGCCTTGGTGCCCTGTTGTGCCCAGGCATCTGCCCACTGGGCTGGGAAACAGAGGGCTGTAGCCTGAATTTTAAGCAAGGATCAGCAATGGATGCCATGAGGATGTTCCTGGATGGTTATGCCCTACTGAAGTGGGACAGCTGGGGACTAAGCAGCTGGTCCCTTAAGTGTCCTGGCCAGCAGTCAGCAGAGTGTCTAACAGACACCCCTGAGCCAGCTCAGTGACGCCTTAAAGCTGCAGAAACCAAATGAAAATAGCTGGGCTGGCGTCACATAACAAATCTGTCGAGCCAGAGAGGAAAGGCTGCCTGGCTGGGCTTCAGCCTGGCTCCTTCAGCCCTCAGCCAACACTGCCAGACACTTCATTAGCAGTGGGCCACATCCCCGCTGCTTCATACCTGGGTTTAAAACCCAGCTGGGTCTCTGGGATGGGGAAAGGCAGCTGCCCCAGTGACGATGGCCCCGTGGCTTGGTGAGGCCAGCTGTCACCCAGCACCAGGACACGCTCCTTCCCAGTGGCTTAGGTAACCCACTCCTGTCACACAGCAGCACAGCTGGTGCCCTTTGCTGCTGAAATGTCAAGCGTAAGTGATTTCCCTGCAGAGTAAATGATCCTTCCAACTCCCTGCTGCTGAGGTGAGAGGTGGCATGGGTGCCACTGCCCTGACATGGCTTTTAGGGGAAGCATCTTAATGCAGGGACATCACTCTGCACTGGGGAATGCATCCCATTGTAACATCATCCAGCCTGAGTATCCTAGTTAACCTCACTTCTGCACACACACAAATCCCTGGCAACTCCAGCATCAGCCTGAGTCAGTCCCCAGGGATGTTTGCAAACTCCTGTGTGGGTGCTTCCCATGTCTGTGGTGCCAAGGCAGCATCCCTGGGAAGCAGCTGGTGCCAGCCTGCAGAGCACTGGGGCTGACGACAGCCAAGGCTCCAGCCAGCAGCCCGAGAGGTGCAGGTGCCCCATCGCAGCTCAGGGCAAGCTGGGCTCTGTGCCAGGCTTGCCAGCAGCCCTGTCCCCTCTGCAGGTGACGGTGGCCCTGAGCACGGAGGAGCTGGCGCAGAAGAAGAAGGTGCTGGCACGCGCTGCCCTGGCTGGGCGCAGCTTTTCCACGCCTCACGGGGAGCTGGATGCCCATCGCCTCTGCCAGGCCCTGGAAAAGGTGTCACAGAGGAGGAACCAGTCCCTGGAGGGCCGGCTGGATCAGCTGGGACCTCAGCCGCTGCAAACGCAGCCCAGCGCGGTGGAGTCAAGTGTGTGCTGGCTCTGGGGACGAGGGCGGTGGGGTGGAGCCAGGTGCCCCCGCCTTGCTGAGCCCAGCCTTTGCCGTTGCCCAGATAATCTCCTCTCGCCCACCCAGCTGGACTGGGACATGCTGGTGGAGCCCTCCTACCTCTTCAGTGCCTCGCCAGCGCCCGAGCCCGGGCAGCCCGGCCTGGGTGATGCCGGCATGGCCCTGCGCTGCCAGGTGGTGATCCACGCGCTGCGAGCCGGCACGCCGGTGTCCTGGGAAGCGACAGCCTCGCTGGAGTCCCTGCTGCAGCCCCGGGAGGCGCCGGGCACGGAGGTCCCGCCGCGGCGGGTGCCCAAAGCCTGGGACAAGCCGCTGCATCGCCTGGCAGCGCGCTCCGTGGTCCGGGACAATGAGAGCGTGGCCCAGCGGGAAGCCAAGCTGGAGCAGGGTGGGTGCCGCTGCCTCTCCCCGGTGTGGCTCCGGCATCCCCCCTGCTCTAACCACGTTCTCTGGGCAGGTTTTGCCCGCCGGTTCCGCCTGAAAGCCGTGCAAACCAGCAAAGCCTGCAACGTGCCTTCCCTCTACACCCGCCTGGTGCCCGTGGACGGTGCCACGCAGGCAGCCCTGCCCGCAGCCCCCGAGGTGTGGGGCATAGGTACGGACAAGGGCCTGGTGGGAGGGGGCAGCAAGGGGACAGAGGGTTGAGGTGGCATCATCCCTTGCAGCTGGCTCAGCCAGCCGGACACGAGCTGCTGCGGCAGGGAACTGGCACCACCGGAGCTCCTCAGCGGGTCAGGGGCAGCAGCAGGATGTAGAGCAGCAGGATGAAGCTCCTGGCACTGCAGGTCAGTAGCTTTATGTCCTTTATGTCAACTCATGCTCCCCAGGGATCTGCACTGGGGTCTCTGGAAATCCTCAGCTGCTGCCTGTGTGGGGCTGGTCCTGCCTAGGGTGCTGTGGATATCTGGAAAGAGGCATCTGCCCTGTACTGGGGAGGGGGCCGTGGGGGGACTGCATAGCAGCCCTTGAGAGCAGCTGTGAGCCATGAGGTCCCTGGAGCCCAGGGCCCCACAAAGTTTTGCTCTTTTGCAGAGCGAGATGAGGTCGCCAGGTCTCTGGGCAGCATCTCTTCCCCTACCTTTGGCTGGGAAAAGCCAAACTACTCAAACGGTGTGTCCAGGCTGGAGGGGGCCAAGGGCTGGATGAGGGTGGGAGATGGGGTACCCTCGATGTCCTGCCACAGCTGGAGCATCCACTGTGCCCTCAGTACTCTGGGCACGTGGGCTGAGCTGCCCTCCCAGGTACTGGGCAGCAGGACACACCTCTGGGTGCATCATGTTCCCACCGTGCTTAACTGTTCCCCCTTGCAGGGCCTCCATCCAGCCCTTCCACCACATCCATGGGCTCCCAGAAATCCACAGAGAGCATCACAGGCTCCAGGTGACACTGTGGGATGGGGGGATGCAAGGGACCAAAAAATGGCGTGTTGTGGGGAGGGGACAGTGCCACTTTTTGGGAGTTGCTGGTCCCCTGTCCCCTGCCAGCTCCTGCAGCATAAAATGGGGGGGGGTTTGGTACTCCAGCCCCTTCCCTGCAGCAGCTTGGCATCCAGCTGTCTTTCAGGAATCCCTCCCAATCCTGTTATCTTGCCTGTGACCCCACAGGTTTAGCCTGAGCAGGCGCAGGGGTCCCAGCCTGGTGCTGCGCCCGCAGTGCCTCAGCCCAGAAAGCGAGCGCCCCAGCAACCACGCAAGCCATGACTACGTCCCGCTGGTAAGGACCTGCTGCCTGTCCCCTGTCCCCATCCCAGAGGGGGAACCTGCCCTGCTGGGTGCCAGCTGAGCCACCCAGGTTGTGTGAGCAGGAGAAAATGCTCCCAGTAGGTGCCTGCTCAGCCCTGCTGTGTCCTTAAATGTCTCTGGGGATCTTCGTTGGCTTTTTGGGGGGCATTCGACTGCCCCTGTGCCTCAGGGACACTCCTGCAGCCCCCAGTGTTTGGTGCTGCAGTGGGTCTGCACCCCTGCCTGCCTCCCCACTTGTCTGTCCCCGCTCCTCGCAGGTGCAGCTGCAGCAAGCCCGGGGGCCGTTCCAGCTCACCGAGAGCTTCTCTGAAGTGGTGCAGATCCCCCTGGACCGCCTGCGCCGTGCCTCCCCCTACGCCTCCCACCGTGCCAGCCTCAGCCCCGTGTCCCCGGGGGCCAGGAGCATGCCTGAGGCAGGACCCGGGGCTGAGGAGGGCGAGGAGCCCATCACAGCCCCGCAGCCCAGCTCGCCCCCATCCCGCAGCACTTGCTCCGAGGTGCCCAGCGCAGCCGCGTGGGCGCAGGCGGACAGCGGGCACGGCTCCGAGTCCGACACCGGGCCCCACTCGGCTGCCCCCTCTGAGGCCGGTGTGAGCTGCCAGGACATGGGGCCCGAGGATCTGGAGAGTGCCAGCTGGGCCACGGCGGTGGCCTTGGCGTGGCTGGAGCATCGCTGCGCTGGGTTCTTTGAGGAGTGGGAGCTGGTGGCGGCCAAGGCGGATGCGTGGCTGCAGGCGCAGCGCCTGCCCGAGGGGGTGGACGTGGGCTGCCTCAAAGGGGCAGCCAGGCACTTGTTCCTGCTGCTGCGTCACTGGGACGAGAACATCAAGCTGAACATGCTGTGCTACAACCCCAACAACGTCTGACGGCCGCCCAAGGGGCCAATAAAGACACCTGGCTCCGAGCCACCTGCACTGGTGTCTCTGTTATCAGCAGAGAGCTGCTGCCTCCATTCAGGCCATGCCAGGACTCACCAGAATCCTAGGAGGGGGTCACCAGCCATCTCTGGTGGGAGGGAGCAGGCAGGGGAATAGGAAAAGCTGTACTGGAGGGATTCCTGGGCTCCATCAAAGCAAATGAAACCTTGAGGCTAAGCAGTTTTGCAGCTCTTCTCTTCTAACCTCACCCCAGAGGCTGCTGCCTAGCCCTAGGCACCCCCTTCCCACAGCTAGGAAGCGAGAGTGCCCATGGCTCCATGGCTCCAGAAGATGCTCTGCCTTCCCTCAGGTGGGGCAAGTCCAGGGACAGCTGTTCTGACATCATCACAGGACAAGGATTTTGGGAAAGGGCACACAAAGCCCCCTTTATTTGGGAAGTCCTGCCTTTTGGGGTCCCCACACCTGCCCCCTTTGCACAGTTCCAGGGCTCATGGCCTTCTTGGGATTGCTGTGGGCAGCCTGAGAGTCAAGTGGGAAAAGAGCAGGCAGATGGGGCAGTTCCAGAGGCCAGTTCCCACCGGCCATCCCCACTCTCACTGGGCTTTCTTGGACTTGGCTGTGGGTTTCCTGCTTGGTGCAGGGGTGTGTGACACTGGCGTGGGGGCTGTGCCGTACCAGAGCTGGAGCAGGATGAGTCCATGGCAGATGTGCAGGGAGAGGGAGCTGCAGACTGTGGAGGGGTAGGTGTTCCAGCAGAGCTCGATCACGCCCAGCAGCAGCACCCTGTGCAGGGGGAAAGCTGGGGGTCAGCGTGGGGGACACGCCAGCCATCCTCGCTCCCAGCCCCCCAGCAGATGGGTGTTCCCCCTCCCTGCCAGCACGTACTTGGGCATGTGGGCGAGCTTGGTGGTGGGGGTGCACCAGAGTAGGTAGGGCAGTGTGTGGAAATACCAGACGTAGAACTGGTAGTGCAGGGAGCGGCTGCAGCAGACACCCAGGAAGTTGGAGGAGAAGAGGATGAAGACAATCCATGCACTGGCATTAAGGGGGCAAACATAGGAGGCTGGAGGTGTGGTCCCACATCAGCTCCCCAGCATAGCTGCTTTTCCCAGGGCAGGCTGGTACAACAGCACTGCATGACCTGAGACCCAACCATGTTTCTGCCTGCCCTCTCCTTCCCTCCTTGCTGCCCACCCTGCCAAAGGATATTGTTGACAGTCAAGCGAGGGGATGCGGGTTTTCTTTTGGCAGGATCCTTCAACAGAGTCAGGATGTTCTCTTTGGAACTGAGAGGGAAGAACAAACATTAATCTAAACTGCTGAAAGTCTCTCCCACCCCACTGTTCCCCTGTGAGCCACAAAGCCTGGGCCATACATTGCCCAAAATAGAGCAGTAACTGCCCTCCAATCACGCCTGCAGCACTGCAGGGATGGGGGAGTCATGGATCTGTATCCTGCACATGGGATTGGCAGGGATCAACACCCGTGGGGAACCCCAGTTCTCACCTGTGCCACCGGTGCAGTGCAAAGAGCCCCAGGCCTGCCAAGTGAGCCAGGAGCAGAGTGGCATGGAAGACTCGATTGTGGAAAACCTCTTCTGGGAGGAAGCGCCAGTTCACTGTCCATTTAAACTGGAACTGGCGGCCCAGGTCAAAGGAGCGGGTCAGGTACCCCACGGGGTTCACCAGCAGGAAGGGCAGGCCCAGGAGCACCTGGCAGGGACACACCAGCACCATCACAGAGCCCTACACCAGGTCACTGTTACCCTGGCTGTCTCCTGAGAAGCCCAGTGCCCTGTGTGGTGACAGGGACAGTCAGCCAAAGATGAAAGTCACCTGAGTTAGACTATTTATCAACACCCAGCTTGCTGTGAGAGGCCACAGGTGCTGGTACTGCTGTCTCCACCCATGGCTCTGCAGCCTGGCAAGGCAGCCCACTATTCCCTGCTGCTGCAGCCGGTGCAAACAGGGACCCACCTGGAGCAGAGCACAGATGCAGAGCTTGGGGATACAGCCCAGGAGACCAAACCGTTGCAGGAGGAGAAAGAGGAGTCCAGGGGCGAAGAGCAGGATGTTCATCTTCACGGACACAGCCAGGCTGAGCAGGAAGCTGCATTACCACTGCGGACCCCACCCGGGAGCCCAGGCAGCCCCTGAGCCAAACGCAGCCTCCTCCTGGGGCTGAGCTTGCTCACGCACCCAGCACCCTGCGGAGAGCAGCTCCCAGCCCCTCACCTGAAGAGGAGGCAGCCCCAGGACCAGCGCTCCTCCAGGAAGAGGTTGATGGCGAGGAAGAGGATGGCCATGGCCACAGGGTCATTAAAGAGCCGCAGGACAAAGATGGAGTGGATGCGGTATGAGGCGCAGCACATGAAGAAGAAAACATAGGGAGGGACCTTGCAGGGGACAGAAAGACAAAAGGGTCAATAGCCTGTCCTGGAGTCCCTGCTGCTGCTGAGCTCCTCCACAGCCAGGTGTCCCCTCCCCAGGGGAGTCCCGAGGAGCCCTGGCCGCAGGTACCTTGCTGGTTCGGCAGTAGATGCGGAAGACGAGGAGCAGGTTGATGAGGTAGAGGCCGGCGAAGATGTACTGCGCCAGGCGGATGTCGGAGCCGCGGCCCGTGGCGTGGTACAGCCCCAGGAAGATGTACACGAAGCCGGCGGGGTAGCTGTGGGGAGACCGGAGTGAGGGGCCGGCCCCGCGGGGAGCCGCCGGCCCCGGCGAGCTGGGTGTCGCTGTCACTCACACCAGCGGCCCGGTGTCGCCCTTCAGCCGGGTGTAGTCGAGGGTGCCGTTGGCGAATCCCTCCACCTCCTGCATGTAGGCCTTCCAGTCGATCTCGGTGTCTGCGGGACGGCGGGGTCAGGGCTCGGGGGCGCTGCGGGCTGACCCGCTTCCACACCCCCGGCCCGGCCCGGCCCCGCCGCCAGCGCGGGCTCTTCCCCCGCCGCCCGCTGCCCCTCCGCCCGGCCCTATGCCCCGCCCGGGGATGCCGCCCCCCCAGGGGCCGGGGCAGGTCCGTCCCCGTGCCCGCGCTGCCCCGGGACAAGCGCCGCCATCACCTCCCAGCCCGGGGCCGAGCCGTCCCTGTCCCCGCACCGCCCCGCGCCGTCCCCGGGGCCAGCCCCAGGCACTCACAGGGGACCCTGCGGATGACCCAGAGGTTGACACCGCCCTCGGCCAGGCAGAGGCAGGCGGCCACCAGCGGGGTGTAGCGGGGCTCCAGCAGCGCCGCCCGCCGCTCCCGCCATGCCCGCCGCAGCGCCGCCGCCCCCCGCCCCGCCGCCATTCCGCTCCGTGTTTCCGCCCGGAGCGCTGAGCGCGGCGCGCCGGCCCGCACCGGAAGCCGCACGTGGCGCCCGGTGCTCCCGCCCCGCTCCCGGGCATGGAGCGGCGGCGCGCGCCCGCCGCCCCGCCCCGCTACGGGCGGCGCCGGTTCTGGGACGCGCTGTACCGGCGGGAGGGCGCCGAGACCCGCGAGTGGCTGGGGGGGCTCTCCCGGTTTCTCCCGCAGCTGGAGCCCGAGCTGCGCCCCGGTGACCGCATCCTCGTCCTCGGTACGTGCCCCGTGCCCGGCGTGCCCGGTGGAGGGCGGGTGGGCGGGGCTCAGGGTGCCGCCGGTGGATGCGCTGGCGCTGGCCGCCAGGGGGCGGTGTGGCACCGGGCCGGTACCGGGAGCTGCGCGCAGCCCGGCCCGGCGGGGTGGCCCCGGCGCCGGCGGTGCTGTCGGGCAGCGGGGCGGGTACAACCGCCCCGTAATCCCACCTGCGGTCTGATCCGCCGGCAGGATTAAGGGGGTATAATCACCGATCCTGTTAGCGGATCAGCCGCTGCCGGCTGCGCTTAATAGCCCCCAAATCCGCCCCCCTCGCCGAGATCCCTCTCGGCGCCCCCGGTGAGCTGCCGAGCCCCGGTGGAGCGGCTCCGAGAGGAGCCCCGGCTTGGTAGCGGGGCTCTCCCCGTGTCCTGTTGAGACACCAGTTTTTCCATCCCTCTGGCCATTGCACCCGGTTAAACCCCGCCGAAGTTCCCTAAGTTCCCACTGGAGTTATCCAGCAAGCTCTTGGGACCATGGCCGGCTCCTGCCCCACAGCGCACCGGGAAGGATAACTGGGAACGCCCTCTGCCTCTCTCCTGCCTCCAGCCTCCCCACTCTTCCCACCCCAAGGTGAGAGGATCAGGTGTGCAGGGCTGCCCCAGGATGGGAGCCCAAAGCACCCACCTGGCAGGACAGGGGTAATTAATGAGTAGCCCAACACTCACTACCGGGCATCAAAGCCATGCCCTGTCCCTCTCCAGCAGCCCCAGCCCACCCGCACCCTCCCCCAGACTGCAGGAGCAGAGTTGGGGTGCCAGCACCCCCAAGGGCACCCCGAGCCCTGCGTGAGCTGTGCCCCACACAGGCTGTGGCAACAGCGCCCTGAGCCACGACCTGCACGAGCTGGGCTACACCGACGTCACCAGCATCGACTTCTCGCCCGCCTGCATCGCGGCCATGCGCGCCCGCTACGCCTCCTGCCCCGGCCTGCGCTGGGCCGTCATGGACATCCGCGCCCTCGCCTTCCCCGACGCCTCCTTCGACGTGGTGCTGGAGAAGGGCACCCTGGACGTGCTGATGGTGGAGGAAACCGACCCTTGGGACGTCTCGCCCCAGGCAGCCGCTGCGATGCACCGGGTGCTGACAGAGGTACGGGCTGGGGGGACCTGAGTAGGGGTGCAGAGGGTGGACCCCATCCCCATTTGGGGTGGGGGAAGGTGCTGAGGGCCTCCTCACCACCTTGCTTCCCTGTGAGTGCCCCAGCCGGTGTTTCTGTCCTCCTAGCTGCTGCTGCCTGCTCAGCTTTGTTGCAAGGGGGCATCTGGGGAGCCCCCAGCAGTCCTGGGAGTGGGAGACTGCCCCCTCTTACAGCCCATCATTTCCTCCCCGGGGAGGTCGATGGAGCAGGATGTGTGCCTGGGTCCTGCTGGAGAAGTGGATGACCCTTCTCTTTATTTGCATGCTAAATACAAAGAGTTGGCAGGAAAAATTGACCCCGTCCTTTGCGGGTGGCTGTAGGGGACCTCGGGGGACACACCGAGGTGGCCCTGCCTGCCCAGGGCAAGGTGGTGACTGCGGGTCTGAGAGAGCTCTGCCCCCCGCACCCCCGCCCCAGCTTCGATCGCCTTAGCCGGGGTCCCCATCATCTGGTCTGGTGTTGCCATGGCAACTCCCATCAGCATCGACAGGGCCGTGGCGTTGCCACGGGGACGGAGATGCCTCGGGGCCCTGTTAATTGGCAGCGTCGGGACCGGATTGAGCCTGTCCCGGCGTGGGGTGCGGGTCCTGGCAGCCTCTCCCACCCTGCGGGAATAACTGCCAGGATAATTAATTGCTGCACCTCCCTGGCACCCCGGGGTTGCAGGCACGGGGTGCTGGAAGGCTGCTCATGGCTGTTGACAGCTCTCCCAGTCTTCTCTTGCCTGGCTGAGCCTGTGAGGGAGTGCAACCCCCAGCAGGGCAGTGGGGCTGTGCTCGATATCCGTGCCCTGCCCTCCTTGCCAGCGCTGCTGCCTGTCCTTGTCATTTTGCCAAACGGCAGGGATTTAATTTTCCCTTTTTTTTTTCCCTTTTTAATCCTCTGCTCAATCCCTGCCCTCCCCCAGCATCACTGGGTACCAGCTTCCACCCGCAGCCGGTCCCTGCTGTCCTTATCCCCAGGGGGATTCGCTGGGTGTTCCCACTTGCTCCCTGTTTTGGAGGTCCCTTCAGAGGGGTCTGTCCGTGGTACCTCCCTTCCCACCGCCATCCTGCTTCACTGGGAGGTTCACAGCCTCTCCCTGGGGGCATGTAAGAACCTGAAAATCCACCCTGCCTGTGGGGACACCCCAGGGACACCCTGTCCCAGCCAGCCGGGGACAGCGGGTGTGGTGGGATCGGGAAGCAGCCCCCTGGCCCCCCTGCTCCTGCTGACGGCGGGGAAGGTTTCCTGTGCTCGTCTCTAAGCAACGGCCATTATTGCTCTATTAACGAGGGATGGGATGTGGACATGCGGGATGCCTCTCGCTCACTTCCAGCCGGAGATCCCTGCCTGCCCTCACCTCCGGGGACCCCCCTCCCCGCCCGTGGGTTGGGAAGCTGTGGGGTCTTCCCAGGGCAGATTTTCAAACGCTTAGCAGGAGGGATACTGAGCCGGGTGCCCAGAGAGGGATGTAGGGACCTGCCTTCCCCTTTTCCTGGCCAAAACCGGTAAGGTTTGGTTCAAAAGCCACCGCCGCAGCAGGGTAGGACACACAGGCTGCCTGTCCCCTCCGCTGGCCCCAGCTAGAACTCCCCAGCTGGAGCTTCCCAGCAGGATTAAACCAGAGCTCGGGAAACCCCCCACTTGGCCTCCAGCCCTGTCCCCTGCAGCAGGGACTCTCTGCCCTTGCTGGGGGGGTCCGGGGGTGTCCCCGCCTGGGGCAGGGTGCCGGGGAGGGGGCTGGATGCCCGCCCGCCCCAGGCACTGCCTTTGCATGCTGAGCACGCGGGCACTGGCCGTAAAAGCCTTTTGACATTGGATAAAGCCAAGCAGGAAAATTGATGTTCTTTTCCATCCTGTTAGCGGGGCTTAATTCCAGCAGGGAGAAAATGGTGATTAAAAGGGTTGAGTCCTTTCCCATCAAACACCCCCCACATCCCCCTCTGATTCTGGGTGTTGGTGGTAGTACTGGGTGGTCTGGGAAGGGGTGGGTGGGTGGGTATTCCATTCTGTGCTTGCAGGGTGGCTATGCTCAAAAGAATGAAGCTTTTCCCATGCCAGGATTGGGTTTTTATGCTGTCTGCTGTGGGTGGGAATGAAGAGTTTTGGGGTGGCAGGGAGAGGTGGAGCGTGGGGACCCCTGTTCCTGATAGCCCCACCTGTGGGTGGTCTGGGGACAGGCCAGACCCAGGGTGTCTCTTGGGGGCTCAAGGTTAGGACAAGAGATTTGGGGCTGCGATGGGAAAGGCTGGGAAGGGTCTTTGGCAGATGGTGATGGGGTCCCTGGGAACGGAGCCAAAGGCGTGAACCTCACTGCGTTCCCCCACCCCATCCCGGGGGTTTTCCTGACGCAGGTGAGCCGGGTGCTGCGCCCAGGGGGCTGCTTCATCTCCATCACCTTCGCCCAGCCCCACTTCCGCAAGCCCCACTATGCCCAGGAGGCCTTCGGCTGGTCCCTGCGCCACGCTGCCTGCGGGGACGGCGACGCCGGCGCCTTCCACTATTTCCTCTACGTCATGCGCAAGGGGCAGCCCCTGGAGCCCCGGGACGCGGCCCTGGGGCGCCGGCTGCACCAGCCCCCCCCGCCCCCCGCCCCGCCACCGCCCCCCGCCCCCCCGGACGACGACGAGGACTATCTGCTTGCCATCCAGCTGTGACCCAGGGGCCTTTCCCAGCCTCCCCCCACCCAACAAAGCCTTAAGATGCTCCATCCTCACAGGTGGGAGACAGGGAACCGGTCCTTCCCCCTGCAAGGTGCCCAGTGATGTGGGTAATGGGAGCAAAGAGGGGGATACTTGGCCTCCTCTGAGGGGCACAGGGATGCTCTGGTGATTCTGTGCCCCCTCCCTGGCCTTTCCTTGCTGAGCTGGAGAGCAGCCAGGATTCCAGGCTTTGCAGCCAGTATGAAACCAAATCGGGTTTAATTTCACCCATCCATCTTGCAGGGAGTGGCTTCCTGTCCCCCATCCCTTCCCCTTGGCACAGACAGCTGGGCTGAGGGCACAGCGGGGGTGCTGGCACTGGGTATAGGGGCAGAATTGGGGGTGCCCACTGCTCCAGCCCCCACCCCATCCTGCACCAGGACCCCTGCCCCAGCTTCCCTGGCCATGGGGGTGTGCAAGGGCACTGTATTCTTGTCCTTGTCACCCCCCCCCAAGTAGTGGGGGGTCCGGGCTGGAATGTACCAGCATGGGGCAGCCGGTGCCACAGGGCAGGAAGGGCAGCACATCTGCTTCTTTCCCCATCCCTCCCCACTCCTGCCTGTGGTGACAATCCCGGTGTGCCGCACACGCCTGGCCCGTGTCCCCCTGTGCCTGGGGCCAGCAGCACAGTGACACGTGTGTGCCAGGGTGGGCCACCTTGTGCTGCTGGGACCGGCTGCGTGTGTGTGCTGGTGTGGCAGGTGCGTGGGTGCCACTAGCAGTGTCCCCAGAGGCTCTTTGGGCACCAACTCCCCCTGGGGTGGGTAAAAGGGACCCCTCCTGGGCGGGCTGGCGGTGACACCACAGAGGCACAAGCTGCTGGGCTGCTATTTCAGGCAGAAGGTGTAAGTGGGTCAGCCAGCAGCTCCCCCTGCACCAAGAGCCAGCAAAGGGCTCCGGGGTCAGCTCCCATCCTGGCCATGCCACCCCATCCCACAGGCACCCCAAAACCAGCTGGCGCAAGGAAGGGACAGAAAGGAGCATGCAGCTGCCGGCTTCACCTGGGTACATGAATGTATTTTATTCATTGCATTTTGTTCACCAGTACAGTGAAAAATGGCATTTAAATTTACAATGGATCATTCGTAGAACATCATGACACAAGTATCTTTTTTTTT